ACTGGAGAAACTGGTCTCCTCTGTCCCCAGACGTCTGTTGAGTGTTGTAAGAATCAGGGGGGATGCCACACAGTGGGAAAAATGGACTTGTCCCAACTTTTTGGGGATTTGTTGACGCCATGAAATTAGGAAACAACAGATTTTTCCCTTAAAATGATACATTCTCTCAGTTTAAACTTTTGATCTGTGATTTATGTTCTATTCTGAATAAAATATTAGATGTTGGCACCTCCACATCATTGCATTCAGTTTTTATTCACAATTTGTTGAGTGTCCCAACCTTTTTGGAATCCGGTTTGTAAATAAATATGGTGTAATGTAGCTCTCTGTATTTTGTTTGTGCAGCCAAAGGCCACTGCCGTATTTCTTTTTTTTGTTTGATGTTATCTCTTGTTTTCTTCTGTGGTTACCAAAAGGTCAGCATAAGTCTGTTCTGATTGTTGAACAAGAGAGAGAGACAAGACGTTTTTGTTTAACCTGTCTTCACTGGAAATACATTACTGCACATTAAGAACCCCAGTTATTGTGTCCTGTGAGGTTAACTATTTCCCAGGCTACAGTTATAATAAAAATATTATTTTTATAAAAGCAAGAAGTGACAAGTCTAACCAACGGTTCTCGACCCAAGCCTGCTCCACTGGACCTTCTCCCTGGATTTTTACCAGAGCTGCACTCTGTGTGCTCACACTCTGCTGCTGCCTGCTCACAGTTCTTGACATCATCCTTCAGAACAAAGAGGACTACACCTTGCTCTTGACTGTGAAGGTTAGTGACTCTGACTATTATGATTATTATTCCCTGAACCTTCACAGTCTTGCCCATATCACTAACCCACTTATCTCTACAAATCAAACTTGGGCCCGGAACTAGACCTCCTCCAGCGGCGATTTATTAATAAATCATTTTAACTATTCCTGGCTTGTTTTGTCATGCACAAATCCTAAAACCCACTCTTGTCAAAATCTTCCAAAATACTAGAAAAAGTGGTCAGAGATCAGAATCCAAATCCAGAGAATAATCCAGGAGGCGTAGTTGAGATAATCAGAAACTGGGTCAGTACCATGGTCAGATTTCAGAGTCCAGAACAAGCAAGGGCAAAGTAAGGCGAATAATCCAGAAGACAGGCATGGGATCAAAACATGAAAGACAGGCAAGGCTTTGGCATAAACGCTAGACATTTACTCACACAAGGCTTTCAATAATCTGGCACTGGAGGACTGAAGAGCTGTGGCTTAAGTAGAGCGGTTGTAACGCGTATAAGAAATACTTAGATTATAGTAATGAAATTCCTGATATTATAGTTGTCCAGTAATGAGTGGGCTTTGGCGCCCTCAACTGGTAGGCTAGAAATATGACCAGAAACTGAAATTCTATCACAGCCTTCCTGACACTCTTTTTCATTCATTCAACCTTTATTTAAACAGATAAATCACATTGAGCCTCGAAGACTCATTTACAAGTGAGACCTATTTGGACAGACAAAAACAATGGTTAACTGGACACATG